GCACCCGAGCATGGCCGTCTTCGACACCCCCCAGGAGGCCTTCGGGGCCCTGCGCCCCGTCTGCGTGCAGCTGACGAGGGCACAGACCATGGAGAACGTGGCGCGCCTGCAGGCCCACCTGGCAGCGGTCAGCGCCTCGGCCCTGCAGGAGCTGCAGGAGTACGTCCTCTTCCCCCTGCTCTTTGCCCTGAAGGTGCCGGGGCCCAAGCAGGAGCGTCTAGTGCAGAGCGTGGTGCAGTGCATGTCCTCTGTCCTCGCAGCGACGTGTGTGAAGAAGCAGGAGCTCCTGCAGGAGCTTTTTTCTGAGCTCTGTGCATGCCTCTCTCCCCCTTCTGGCTCAAACAAGCCAGCCTCGCTGTCAGAGGAGTTAAAACTGGCTGTAATCCAGGCACTCCACACCCTGATGCATTCAGCTTATGGGGATGTTATCTTGTCTCTGTATCAACCCTCCACTCTTCCTCTCTTAGGATTTGCTGTATCTTTGCTTCTGGGCCTAGCAGAGCAAGAAAAAGCAAAGCAAATTAAGATCTCTGCTTTGAAGTGCTTACAGGTCCTAGTTCTGCAGTGTGACTGCCAGGAGCATCGACACCTAGATGAAGACGAGGCACAGCAATGTGGGGATTTGTTTGCTTCTTTTCTGCCTGGAATTTCCATTACGCTGTCTCGGGTTATTACTGGAGACATCAAACAAGGTCACAAACCCACCGTTTCTGCCATCAGGCTCTTTTATCTGATTGTTGGCTTGGTAATGGCTGATGCACAGCTAGCCAGAATACCAAAGAATAAAGAAAAGCTGCCAGGGGAACAAAGCAGAATATCAGAACTAATGGTCCATAGAGGACCTGACTGGAGTAAAAGTACTGCTGAAAAACTCTCTCTCCTCCTGCATAAAACAGTTGAATTTTCATCAGTTCACCCCCACTGGAAAGTGAGGCTGGAGCTAGTGGAACTGGTCCACCACTTACTGAGTAACTGCAGCCAGTCCCTGGTGGACTCATTCAGTCATCTTTTAAAGGCCTTGGTTGGGCTGGTTAACGATGAAAACAGCAAAGTCCAAAGCAGGTGTAATGAGGTTCTGCAAGGCATTGCAGAGCAGAGGATCGTAGCACAGAACAGGGCTCTTGCTGATGTCCTCTCCGAGAACCTCCATTCCCTTGCCACAGCTCTTCCTCGCCTGATGAACTCTCAGGATGACACGGGCAAGGTTTCCACTTTGAGCTTGTTGCTCGGCTATCTAAAGCTGCTGGGGCCCAAGATCAACATTGTCCTCAACTCCGTATCCCACCTCCACCGTCTGTCCAAAGCACTGATGCAAGTTCTGGAGTTGGACGTGACAGATGTGAAGATAGTGGAAGACAGACGCTGGGGCTGCGAGGGCACGTGTGGACCTTCAGGCTCCTTGCAGCATGGTGTGCAGAAAAGCAGATGTCAGAAGAAATACTTTCGCTTCTTCACGGAGGAGAAAATCTTCCAGCTCCTTCAGCAAGTTTGTCGTGTTCTTGGCTACTACGGGAACCTCTATTTGCTTGTGGATCATTTCATGGGGCTGTACGGTGAATCTGGCATGTACCGAAAGCAGGCAGCTATGGTCCTCAATGAGCTGATTGCAGGAGCTGCTGGAGTGGGAGTGGATGTCCTTCAGGAAAGGGAAGTTTCGCTGAGCATGGATGATCTCAAAGGGTCCATAACATCCATTCTCGATGAGTACACAGAGGAGGCGAACTGGTATTTGATCACTAGCATTGATACAGAAGAAATCAGCCATGAGCACTCTGTGCAACATTCAGGACTTACTGCCCATCCAGGAGGTGCGTGCAGCAGCATTCTCCTTCCATCTGCAGAGCTGCACGTAACAACCCGCACCATGAACAGCAACATCTGGCAGATCTGCATCCAGCTGGAAGGCGTTGGCTGCTTTGCTGCTGTCCTCGGGAAGGAGTTCCAGTTTCTTCTGCTGTCAGCTCTCTACCCCGTGTTGGAAAAGGCTGGTGACAAGACTCTGCTCATCAGCGAGACAGCACTGGGGACACTGGTAGACATATGCGAGGCCTGCAGTTATGACTCTGTGCAGTGTTTGATTAATGAGAATTCTGACTATCTGGTGAATGGGATTTCCCTGAATTTGCGCCAGCTGGCACATCAGCCACATGCTTCGCAGGTCCTGGACACTATGCTGAGGCATTCAGATGCCAGCTTGCTGCCGCTGGTAGAAGACGTTATCCAAGATGTCCTGTCTACGCTAGATCAGTCTTACAATAACCAAGCTTCCACTTTCCTCAGGGTACTCCACTCAGTAATGACAGCTTTAGGTATCTAAATGATGTTTACTTTGCGTAATTGAGTCTTACTGTGACTAAAGGTGCTTGTCTTTGACCTTTTGACTTGCCATGGGAGATTTCAAGTAGCTGAGGTACTGCAGTGTGACAGCAACTTTGCTTTGCTTGGTGGGCCAGCAAAGATCACCGGTGGCTTCCTCTCTCCACAGCCAGTTTCTGTTTGTCTGGCCTGCAGACTTGCAGGAAAGTGGCCTTTAGTGGTTGAGAAAGGTTGGATTTATTGCTCCCATAAATGTTCTGTAGAAGCACATAGAGCGTATTCCTTTTTATATTGGGATTTAACAGTCTCGTACCATCAGGGAGGTCACAGTGATGTGACAGTGAGTGCCTGATTCTGTAGTTCAGTCCCATGAGACTTGAGAGTCGTGTTCATCTCAAGCAATCTGTGGTACCTTGCTGACAGGAGGGGATCGTGACTGCTTAGTGACCTGTCAGTTCCTCTTTTGCAGCCCAGTGGTTTGGATTGTCTTGCGATGAGCAACACCAACAAAGGCAGACGGCCAAGTGGCGGAGCGGGACTTTGTCCCAGGGGCAGCAGGTGGTGACAAGGCAAGAAGTGGAACAATTCTTCCTTGACTATGTCAGACAGAAGCAGATTGCAGAGGGCAATCTTCCTGACACAGGGGACGAGGAGGCAGGTGAGTACTGTGTGTGACTGGAGAAGAGTATGTTCAGCTTGGAGAAAGACAGTGACCTCTGAGGTTTCCTTTTGTCAGATGGGGGACTTGGGACCAGGTTGAAAGCCTAGCACACTTCTAACAGTCTCAGGTCTCCTTTGAGCTGACCATAGCTCGTGTAAGGTGCTGCTGGGTGTTTGTGCTTTGTTTTATGTGGGAGGGAAGTGAAATGTTCAGAGCAAGGCTTGTCTAGCTCTAAGACACAAGCACACTATGTTTTTCCTTACCTTAATAACAGGTCCTTCGGGTTCAGGACCTAAAGTTTCCTCTTTCCAGGATCCTGCTGTATTTTCGTCACCCTCCTTTGGGAATCCCTGTACCATTTTCTCCTGGCTAATGATGCCACCACTGCCTTCTCACCTGGCCTTGGCAAGTCTGCAGACATTCGTATAGGGAACTTTTTAGTCTTTATTGGGCTATGCTGCAGTCCTGACCTTTAAATACTTCATCTTTAAATACCCAGGCTTTTTATTTTTAATAAAAATCAATGGGAAATAAGTCCATGGTGAGAAGAGACTGCAAATGTCAGACCAACTGCATTGTCCGGTAAAGAAGGCAAACCTTCCCTAGCCCTGCACTCTTAACTGAATCTGACACTTAACTCACAGAACTCAAGCATAGACCTGACTGTATCTAAATATGTTTAAAAATACCAAAGTCCTCACTTGGGAATTTGCAGAGTAGTTGTGGGTGGGTATTGTGTCCTAGAACTTCCAAGTCATTTTCATGGCTTCAGTGGTGGTTTTGTTTTCCAGATGAGGTTCCACCCCTTGCTAAGCCGGAGCCAAAGGACTCTGATGCGGAAAGAGAAACCCCACTGCCAAGCCATGCTCAGCTGGCCAAAGATGTGATGGAGAGGTGCATCCACTTGCTGTCTGATGGGAACCTCCGAGTGCGGCTGAAGGTTAGTAAATGCCTGCTTTGAGGGGACAGGTGGTGCCTGTGAAGGGGGCTGGTAGCTCGTCAGCGTGTGCACGATGCATGTTGGGCTTCCTGCCGTAATGAGGTTAGTGCTGCCATATGCTTGTTCAGGACAGACCCTCCAAGTCTGGCAAGAGAAAGGGAGACGGTTTTCTGGGAGTAGTCTGGTTTAGGAATGGCAGCCAGGCTGAACAGAATCTTAAGGGTGTTTCGTATCAGGCACCTTCCCTTGATGCTCCTGATAGTCAAGTCTTGTGCCTCAGCCTTTGGTGGAGGAAGCAGAATCATCTTTCTCCCATCTAGGCCTCCCTTCCCCCAACTGTAGAGCACAGGCTGATTAACATTTTTGAAGTTGCTGGGGTGATGATAAGCAGGGCGAAAAGCCTGGGTTTTTTTTAATTATGAAAATCCTTTGAAGGTGGCCTCCTTTTAAACTGCAAAGTGAGACAGAAAATGCAGCGGTGAGGCATAACCCAGATTCTTACCACAGAAGGCCCAGCCCTACGAGGTGATACTGCTGCTGGGCCGCAGGAGTGGTAAGGTCCTAGTGCACAGCTCAGCCTGCAGGATCAGGCCAGGAGTCGTGCCCTGGTTCCAGCCCGGCTCTGTAGCCCAGCACAAGTTATGTCCCTGTGCCACTTGTCCCTTTCCGAACAGGCCTGTGCTCTGTGCACTGTTCAGTTATCCAAATTCATGCTGAGATAAAACCGTACTCTTTTGTATTAAAACCCTTCTTTCTCCTGGCTCCCAGCATGACACTGGGGATCTGCCTGAATGCCTGGTGCTGCTGGTGCTGCAGCGCTCAAAAGTCTGTTACCTACTGCTCCTTCTCAGGTCCTGGATGTGCTGGAGCTCTGTGTAACTGTGTTGCATCCTCATGGAAACCATCTGCTTCCCATGGCTCATCGTGTCTGGCCAGCTCTTGTCACCCGGCTGATTAGCGATGACCCTCTGGCAGTGCTCAGAGCCTTCAAGGTACAGCAGCGACTCTCTGCCAACATCCTTCAAGCTGGTGCTTAGAAGGAAAGTGGCTCAGGCATTGCTGTGGCCCACGAGAGAAGCACTAAGCTTGTGGAGTGATTTTTAAATGTGGTTCAGAACGCAGGGTCACCATCCTGCAGTGGGCGGGCTTGTACCACTCCCACTGCAGCTTGTCCACAGATAAAACCTTGACGCTGTTGGTGAGGGAAACAGCAATATTAGTGGTTATTGCAGGGAAGAGGAAGACAGTTCTTTTACAGCCTAAGCAGCTGTCAGAGGCACCATACAGCGCAACTTGCCCTTGCTGGAGCCACAGTCTCAGCAACCCGCTTTGTAAGTCTTAGACTGAAGAGAAGGGATTGTCTCATGATTGAGGCATTGGCAGGGGAGGGGAGAGGTTAAGCAAAGACTTAGCCTCATAATAACATTATTAAAGAGCCCCTGACCATGTCAACTGGCTGCATTCTCTTCCTGACTCACAAACTGGACAATAAAGCGTGTTTCCAGAGGTTGCCAGCCCCAGGGTTTCACAAGGCTTCCTCGGCTGCGCAGAATGAAATTCGTTTTAGAATCCTTCAGTGTGAATAGGAGAGTTTTGATTCCCCAAATTCAAGAAGCCATACACTAGAATTTCAGAGTGGCCATACCTTGCATGTGCCTGCCCTAAAAGAAGGGAGAGATTGCTACACAGAAACTAATTAACTGTGGAGAAGTTCAAAGGATCATTACAATTAGCACTGAGTTTGGGTTTTGTTATAAGAAATCCCTCAGGACTGTTTTCCTTCCTGAATCTCAGCACAGGAAGTGTAGTATTGGTGTAAGCCAAACACAACATAACCAGCATCTCAGTCCTGCACGCTAAGACCACAAGCTTAGTGAAGTTCCAAGAGAGAACGGTGTCTGGCCGCGTGGGCTGGCCCATGGATTGTTTTTACATGTCTTTAAGGCCATTCTTTAGGCCAGTTTGGGTTTTATCCTGGGCATGCAGCAATAGTGCTGGGTGCCCTGTGCTGTAGCCAATTGGCCCTTCTGTTCACTGGCATGCTTGTAAAGATGGACTGTTCCCACCACAATAGTGATTTATATTTTAATGGCATTTTCCATCAGAGGCTCCTCCAGCAATTCTGAATAAGACTTCACAAACTACTCCTACCTTTACCGTGCTAATAAGAAAAGAGCAGTCCCAGGAGGTTAGCCAAGTGAAACTGAAGAGCAGGGTGCAGGTCATTCGGCCTTTTAATTGAGCATTCACCTTCTGCTCATTATGGGAAACTGTGGCAGGTGTGGTCACATTGCTCTCAACAGAAAAAAAATGACCAAGGGAGAATGAGTGCCTTATCCCCCAAGCTGGTGTGGATTGCTGAGCTCCTCCCAGACCTGTGTGTGCACTTGTCCTCTGGTAACAGATGTTTCTCCACTAGGTGCTGTGTACCCTGGCTGAAAAGTGTGGGGACTTTCTGAGGCAGAGATTCTCCAAGGATGTCCTGCCTAAGCTGACCAGTTCCCTCCTCAGCCAAGCCCCAGCAAGTGCCAGAGCTGGGCCCGTGTACAACCACACCCTTGCCTTCAAGTTGCAGCTGGCTGTGTTGAAGGGACTGGGTTCTCTGTCCGAGAAGTTGGATATGGGTGAGTACCAGGGAAAGCACAGGTTGGGTAGATCTGCGCCAGACTTACCTCTTCTCCTTTCATTTCAACGGACCAGGCCTGCACTTGCTTCTTATCCTTCTTCTGCCCCATGGGATTGATTTCCTGATCTTCTTCAGCCTGATCCCATTTAGGTCCTACTGGGACTTAATCTGTTCCCTTTGAGAGCTCTGTAAAGAGCGATTGGTTGCTCTTTACTCCCCAAGAGACAAATGGGAGAGAAGATTCCCAGCACCTTGCAGAATCTGGCTGCTCATCTCACTTGTGCATGAGAAGTGGGTATAAAGTGGAGTGCCTGGGTTGCTGCAGCTAGGCCTGTTGGGCTGTGCTTTGTTCTTAATTAACTGAAGAACTGGAGCCCAGATAAGACTTCTGGCTAACTCAACTGGTTCCATTTTGGGGCATCTCTTTGGGTGACCCTTTAAGTGCAGCACATCACATTCTTCTACTGAATGAAACTCTCTGAAATTCTCCAAGGTTAAATTTCTGGAGCTGACTTTGATGAGGGAGAAGGTTTGCTGGTTAGTTGCTCTTTTCCTCTCTCAATGGCCTTGATTGCTTTTCTAGCTTTACAGCAAGATGCTTAAGAGGTGAGGTCAGAAGAGCTCTGGGTCAGACAGTTCAAAGGCTCAGAAGCCTCTTACTGCCAATTTAGAGCTGATTCTGTTAGGCGGCAGCTGCTGAGTAGGTTACCCCCTACCCTTCTTTTCTGTTCCATTTCTGCAGGTGAGAATGACCTGAATAAAGTGGCAGATGCCTGCCTGATTTACCTCAGTGCCAAGCAACCCATGAAATTGCAAGAAGCTGCCCAGAGGTAATATCTCTTAAATGCAGGTGTATCAAGTGTACAAATAGCGTGGGGCAGAGGGAGCACGGTAACCCCTTTCCTTTTGCACTTTTCTATTCCTCCCTCTGGCACATTTGAGTCCTGTACAACAGAGTCTCATAGAAGTTAACCCCTTTCTCTGGTGAAGTATCATTTACTACCCAAAATGAGCTAGAGAGGTTAACTTGCCCACAAGTTAGAGGTGATTTTCAGATCACCTTGCAGGACATTTGGGGACAGAGAGGGGGAAGATGTCCTACTTGCTTTTTTCTAACCTCCTCCTGTGCTAGAATACTTGGGGCTCTTGGCCCACTGGTGGCATAAGACTGCAGAGGGGAAGACAGCTATGCAAGAGGATGTGCCAAACGTTCCCGTGTATTTTATCACCTAACACCTTCTGCAGGCTGGGGGATTTGCTTCTGTTATCCTTCCATTTTCCCTGGGCTCCTGTGATCACGTCAACCCAGGCTCTGCCAGGTGGACCGGCGTTTGTTTGGGAAGCTGGCAGTCTTGGCACCAGTCTTGCTCCGAGAAGGCTGGGCGAGGTTAACAGAACACAGTTAGTTTAGGTGAACACACATCAGCTCTATGAAGTGTTGACAGACATACTTTGCTGCTTGGTGTACAAAATCCTGCTCAGCATGTTCCTGCTGTCAGGATAAGAAATCACTATTGTCATATGTTGTCACCTGGAAACAAGACCAGAGATTTCAGCAGACAGAACAAGTCCAGTTACAGAACATGGAAAGTGAATAAGAAAGCTGTGCAGCTCGCTCTGCTGAAGGACAGGGGTAAAAGCCCCCCTCTTTCTGTGTGGCCTACCTTGCCCTCCCCTGAGGGGAGAGGAAGCCAGCAGTGAGCAGGTTCAGCAGGCACTGTGGATTTCGGAGAACAGGCTGTTGAAAAGGGAAGAGCTGCTGGTTCCCTTTCACCTGAGCGGAGGCTCCCAGGGGGGGTGCAGGGTGTGAAGGGCTTTTGTGTGGCTGGGCAGTTTAGAGGGAGAGCGCTCTCAGAAGCTGTAGCCGTACCTTTGTTTGTATTCCTGCGCTGGTGAGAGTAGGTTTATTTTTACCTTAGTGGCTTTTATTGCATCACAGCAGGCTTTAGCAGCGTTTGTTCTGCAAAGGGGTTCTTCGCTGAAGGCTTGCATACCCTTAATACAATAAAGCGTTCATCTGTGTAAGCAATGTTGGAAAGGAAAGCAGAACACCAGGATTTATCTAGATATTTGGAATCTTAAGCTTTTAAATCATTAACAAAGCAATCCGAAAAGCTGTGCAATTTCCCCCCACAGCAGGGGTGGGGGGAAATACTGAATTAGCCCTATGATGTGATAGGGTCATTAGAAGCTGTATTGTGAATCAAGCTCACTGTTGTTGGAGAAAAAGAGCAGCAAAGTTCAGAGTAAGTAACGTTTTTCTGCTGTATATTATTTTAATTCTATTTTAAGGGAAAACTGCCACATGTTATACTGCTCCCCCCATGCCTTTGATGCAGCACACATTACATATTTCACTGAACAAAGCAAGGTGTTCTGCAAACAGCTATCTCACATCTAGCTCTGGCCAGACACATATATGCACTGAGGCATGCATCGTGTCTGGCCTGATATTAACCACTCATATGGCAGTACTTGTAGTTTTCGGTTTTGGGGTTTGGGGTTTTTTTTGGGTTTGTTGGGTTTTTTTTTAGTTTAATCCTGTCTGATCCCAGGTCTTGGAGCCTGAATAGGTCAGAATTAAACATATCACAGTCACTTTTAACTATAGTACACGTGATATGAGGTTTCAGCTTGGAAAAGTCAAAGTTAGTTTGCACCATAACAATCAGCTCCAGTGCCAGGATAAGAATCACTTCTCAGCCATGCTTCGGTTTCCTCAGCTGCTTAACCACCAAACTCCTGTAAGCTCTGGTCCTTTTCCTTGCTCTCCATGTGCCTGAAGGTAATCCTGCAAACTGACACAGGTTGTCACATGTAAGGCCCTTTCTGTCTAGACAAGGGCAATGTTACCAGCCTTATACATGAAAAATTCTGCATTTTAAATGCTTCTAAAAACAGATAGACCAGAACTAATCTTAGCCACAGCCCCAGTGCCAGCATAAGTCACATAACTCAGCTTTATCACTGCAGAAATCATACAAGGTAAAAAGATGTTTGGAATCAGCTTGCCATACTGATTTATACTAACTGGCCTTTGCTCAGCTTTTTGGATTCTTACTCAACTCGTGAGTTGTGACCTGCCAAGAACAAGGTCAGGTCTTACAAAGTCAGTTGTAGCTCCAATAACTCCCTGCACTGACTAAGTGAGGATTCTGTAGGTATGCAAAGGGCTAAGCAGGAATTTTTGGCCAAGGTGCTGGAGCCATAAGACAAAAAAAAAAAAAAGGAGTTTTGGCTGTCATCCAGGGATGTTGTCATGCCCCAAGGAGGCTACGTAATCCCATTTATGGGACCCTGTAGTTTTATTAGATAAACCAGTGGGAATAAGTGAATTTTGTAACTGCAGCTTCATGCAATACTCAACAGGCAAAAATAGACACTGGGGAAAAAAAAAAAAGAATGCCAGCATGTGTGAGGAAGAGAAAATGGGACAATGGGCTTTATTATAAGAATATTCCAGGAGAGGAATATTATCCAAAGCTTAAAAAAAAAAAAACAACACAAAAACCCACACCCCCCAAAAAAACCCCAAACCTGCTGAAGAAGGGTTTGGGAAAGCCAGGGAACAGTAATTATGTCTCTGCTTTCATTGAAAGTTAGCCAATGCAACTGTGGGTAAAGTGCCCAGAAACACTTGAACAGCTAAGGGGTGGTTGTGTGAGCCCCAAGCATTGGGAACAAGGCAGGGGGGGAAGATAGTGTAAACTGAAAGTCACAATACATAAACCTGAGATTATGATTTTATTAAGTTGCATCATCCCTGACAAGCTTTTCACTCCAGGGGAGGAAAAAAAAAACACACAACAACAAACTTCGAAGGAAAAGAGATTCAGAAATTGTCATTGGCCTATGTCAACACTTCACAAATAGTTCTGCATTTTTTTCAGTTTGAAGTGACTGTTTTGAAATCTACAATTAATTCCTAATGAATGTTTACAGCCTGTGAAGTTCACCATTTGACCTTTCAGTCAGCATCTGGATAGGAATGGGTTTTGGTTTTTTTTTTCCAGGATGCAGAAATAATTTCCCTGGTTCTTACTGAAGTCTGTGGTGAACTGTATCTAGTTAAACATTCAGCAGAGATGCAAAAGCTGGAAAGACTTGTCCTTTTGCCAGCCTGTTCACTGTGCTGGGGCTTTGCTTAGAGCTTGGGAAAAGACAAGGCAACAGAATAGCCAAACCTGCTCTGTGTTAGTAGAATAAGTTGTTTAGCACAACTGAAAAAAATATGAGCTATTTTTGGACATTTTAGATACCAAAGTTGATTATGCAACATACCTCTTTTGATTTGATTGTGTAGTTTATTGCATACTTATTGACAGCTGTCATTCACAAGCTAGGCTGAAGTACACTAAAACAGCCACCTGCACAAGAGAAAATTCAATAAAATGATATTTAAGTAAAAAAAAAAAAGACAACAACAGAAAACAAACCTGGATTAACCCCAGGATTCTTTGCCATGGAAACAGGTTGCTTAGAAACTGCCCCAGAGTTAGTTTGAAAATGTAAAAAGTCAAGTTGTTCTTTAAGCTGCACAGCACTCCAGGTTATCGGGAGACAATCACACGCCTCAGGCCGTTATGGGCACAAGAGGCAGCTGAGTTCTCCAGGGACCCGCTAATCTCTTGAGGGTTGTTCTCTCCAGAGCAGCCAGTTGGGAAGAGGTTGGCGTGCAGAGTATCTTTGCTGTGAATGTAAGTTGTGCATGTGCTGGAGAAGCAGAAGCCAGCTGACCAGTATTCCCTGTTCCCATGTTTACTTCACAGCGATTCATCTTTCTGGCCTGGTCCTACCCACCCAGCAGCCCATCACGAGCCAGGGAGGCCCCTGGGCCCTGCCGTTTGCTGCCCCGCACGCGGCTGCATGCTCACACGGTCGTGGCCAAGCGAGCACCAGGAGAGCACTGGCAGGCAGCAGGGCTTGGAGAGCTGGTGCAGGGATGTCAGCGGGCGCAAGCTCTAGCCCCTATCCCAGCGAGCTTGCCTGCTCTTTATGCAGCCTGCACCCTTCCTTTTCCAGTCAGCAGAGCTGCAGTAACAAAGCCAGGGGAGCGGAGAGCACCGTGAGCTCACCTGTGTCTGGCCGTCCCCCAGAACAAAGGCACATTGCTGATGCAGCTGTTGCCAAGCCCAGCTATCGCGTCGGCACACGTTCACGCTGCGTTCCTCTGGAGCGGACAGATAGGCACTGCAGGCACAGTCAGGAGGGGACACTGCCAACAGCTTGCAGGGGCAGCATCTTCCCTCATTGCTGTTCAGAGACCTGCACTGAGAGATGGGCAAGTGGTCAGCAGTGGACAGGCAAAAGCAACAACTTTGGCTGCTCGTGGAGTAATGAGTCATACAGCCACAAGTTTATTGTGAAGAGGTGAGGGAGCTTTCTAGTGCCTTCATCTCATTTCTGTGCTTTTTCAGGTTACCTGTGGCACTGCACTCCCTTTCTGAAGAGCCCTTCTAAAAGGGATTTCTGCCTGCTTTACACAGGAAGCAAGCTCACTTTAGGCATAAAAGTTCTTCATGGAGAAGTTTTGACAGGAATCAAGTCTGCATTTTGTGTGACTTTTGTAGCAGGTGCTCTTTGATTTTACAGACAGTTCCGTCGTGTGCTGCTTGGGGGAACAGAAACAGACCTACCCTCTGATTTCTCTTACCATTACCTTGCCCAGCTGTTGTTCTCATGGCCCCATGATTTCGGTGGAAACTAGAGACCTGGAGACATGTAGCTGGGCATTTACTGAGGTCTTGGAAAGCTGACCAGTAAGCTTGGTGTGTGCCGAGTACCCGTGGTGCTCATAGTCTCTACGGGAGCACAGAGTACTCAGCGCCGTGCAGGAAGAGGCCTTGCAGTGCTGTCAGGGCAGCCTGAAAATTCTAGCTTAATTTTGTACATGGCACAGCCAGAGAGCTTAATACCAGTTAAGTTCAATATGCTTTCTGTGCATTAAACCCTGACACAGACCTAGCTAAGCCCAAAGGTTACCAACAAGAAGAAGTGGCAGGAAGAAATGAGTAAGTGTAGGTCATGCAAACCAGGCATTTGCTCTCCTGCTCCTAGGAGCTCCCTGCTCTCCAGCAGGTCTCTCCAATCCCCAGCATCCTTGCTGCACCAGCTCACAGCTGGAGTCAAAATGCAAAGTACATACTCAAAAGTCAAATCCCCCATCTTACCTGGGGTATTGAAATTCGAAGTAAAAGCCATCAACACAGCAGTAGAGCATTAGAGGAAGTTGTCATTCCTCTCTTCCTCCATTTTATTGTTAATGAAGGTTGTTGTTGGGTTTTTTTGAAAAAGCAAATCCTGCTTTGTGAAAGGTGCTGCGCAGAAGGAAGGAAATTTGGAGATAGCTAATAAGGGCTTGGGATGAGGGGAGACCTCACATAAGCAAAAAGCCCTTGATACAGCATTGAGCTTTACTTGTTGCCCGGCCCGGACAGCTATCCAGAAATACCCTTGTTTTCACCACCTCTGAAAAGGGAGAGAAGTCCAGATGGGTTGACCCCCTCACTCCCCAAAAACCAGAGAGGGTGATGAACAACATATACAACTTCTTTTAAGAGCTCTTGGAGGAGCGGCTGTCCCAAATATACCAGATGTAAGTAGCGCGTGCAATGCTCTGCAGTCACCTCTCCAGCTCTTGAGACAGGCTGATTTCAAAAGGCTTTTGCCAGCAGCAGCCCATGATGGTGAGACCAAAGCCTGGGTCAGTTATTCACCAGCTGCTTGTTTGATGTCAATAACTTACTGTGTAGCATAACAACTAGTTTTCTCCCACTTGCCAGTAGATGTGAAACCACTGAACTGCCTTCTCTTGGGCACAGGAGCCATTTTAATAGCGCTCTCAAAAGAGCCTCCGAGCCTGTTCCACTTCAGAGGTTGCAGACAACATCAAAGCTTTCCATAGCTCTCTGTTAATGACCCTGTTGGGTCCCAATCAAAAGGCTTTCTCCTTACGCTCCTTTCCTTTCTTCCCACTGTTTTCCAAAGTGTTTTCCTCCACTTAATGCACATGGACCCAGACAGCACCTGGCTCCTCCTGAACGAGGTCTGCTGCCCTCACCAGTATGAGCCCCCCCACGTCAGCCTCCAGCCCGTGAAGTTCAGTGGGATGGGGAGACAGCGGAACGAGTTCACCGACAATGTGAGGCTCCTGTTGGAGAAGCTGCAGCAGCGGGAGAGCGCAACGCCGTGGGCATCTCCTCCTTGACAGACCTGTGCAGCGGCTGGGAAAGAGGACCCACTAGGACAGAACTTACCTGGGAAAATGCCATCATTTAGGCCCCAAAATCATTCTGGGGGCAAAGGAAGGATTGCTCAGTCTGAGGCACTGGCCAGGACACCCTCCCCATGGGCAGAAGTTTTTGTTTGTGGGTTTTTTTTGTTGTTGTTGTTTTGGTTTTTTTTAAACTGTGTTTAAGGACGAGGTCGGTACATTGCACCAATTCCTCCTGACTTGGACCTTTCTGCACATGGTGCTGGAGAGAAGTCCAAGGGTCACAGCACATCTGTCAACTGTTTCAGTACAAAGAGAGAGTCATTTTCCAGAAATTACTTCCCAACACTCGATCCTTGGGTGGTGCCCCTTCAGCACCCCCCACACCACTCTGACCTCCTCACAACTGTGATATTCCCTCCTGTTCTCAGCTGGACAATGATTGCCAACTCAAAACAAAATCTTTTTCTGGCCTTAACCCTTCCCAGGGAGAGAATCTGGTTTGGGGTGCATTAAAAACCTTTTCTTTTTAAAACCAGTTAATATCAGAAAAAGTTAAAATCCATTTCTAGTAAGTTCCTCACCAGTATTACTGGCAAGAATAACATGTCCTTTTAGAAACATCAGGGCTGTTCCTCGTAGTTTGCACTTTGCTAAGACTGGCTGCTGAGACCGGCCAAACACATTGTGCTCCCTGATTCTCACCACCGAGTGCGAGAGATTCTTTAGAAAAATGACCAGCCCTGATTTACAACGTGCAAGTGATTTACGACTCCTCCTCATTCCCAGATTGCCTGCCGTTCTCACAGGCCATTTCTTAGCCCTCTCAGCTTTCTAACACCCACCCCAAGGGAACTAGATGAAATATCTCCCCATGCACCAGTACGGCCTCCCAGGTGGGTACGTACGTGGTCAGACGATGCAGGTGGTGACATTAGGTGTGAGCACGGTGGTACCACGGCAGTGCCATGGTTTGCTTGAGCAGGTACAGCACAAGGCAGTGGGCAGAGAGCACGACCAGTCTTTGGGGTCTGCTTGCTGCCCCAGCCAAAGGGCCTCCCTTCCAGAGCACAGCACAGGCTCACCGCCCACCTGGAAGCTGCTGTAGCGTACTCCAGTTCCTGAGTCCTCCAGGCTCCGTCCCCAGGGACAATCTGTAGGTGCTGCTTGACTGGGGTGCTCCCAGACCACTCCGTCTCCTGGATTCGTCACCTTCACCCAGAGTGACTGCAGGCAGCGGGCTGTGCCTCCTGGCCCTCGGGAAAGTTTTATGCTAGTAAAGCAAAAGAACAGAGCTTGACTGTAAATTTGGAAGCAAGCTCAGAAATGCAAAAACCAAAGCAGTAAACTGGTCATTACCTGGAACGGGCTTTGTGCATCGCTGTTGGAAATCCCAGGTGAGCATCCAAAACGTGTCTCAGCTGTTGGGAGCAAGGGGACTGCTGCTTATGCCCACACCCGCTGCAGCTGAGATTACCTCCCCTTTGTTCAGGCTTTACTCCTGGTTGCTTCTCCAGGAAAAACATTAAGTCAGTGGCTTTTTACCAGATAGGGCAGGGCTGCAGTCCAGTTTTACCCATTTATTTTTTTTTAAATATATATTCAGTGCTTAACACTGGGTTGGATGTTGCACAAAGGAACCCTTCAGAGTTGATCTGACAGGGGAAGACAGAAGAGGCAGAAAGGTGAAATACTACCTTTGGTCTCCAAAGCACCCTTGGGGTTGGTGCAGAATTTTCTGGATTGTTGTAGCACTTGATAAAACTCATCCATCAAGTGCATATGCTGCACCCAACCCATCTCTGCTTTCCCTTCAGTGCTGGCTGGAGCTCACGCGTGACAAATGAGCAGCACCACGACGGCGCTCGGTGCTCCTGCCCAAACCGTCTCCGGGTCTCCCCTGCCGCCCTCCCCGCAGCCAGCAGTGCTGGGCTGTCAGCCTCCTCGCCAGCTGCGCCTCTTGCCAGGGACAAGTGAACCATTGCCCTGGGGAAACGGCACCATCCTCCTGGAGCTTGGTACCAGCCCCCAAAGCAGCCTGGCAGAAGCACCCCTCCTGTTGCCAGGCTTCCCCGGCTGGTCACGGGCTGCAGACAGACGAGTGATTTATCCGCAGATGCTCTGCGCTGTTTGAGTCCGTCACCTCTGGGAAGCAGAAGCGGCCCAGCCTTGATGGATTCACCTCCACTGAGACAAGGCAAACTTAAAAGAAAAAACAGTAACCTTTGTTACAGCTTGCTTTTTTTTTTCTTTTAGAATAAAATTATACTTGTTTCAGAAAGGAAAAGCATAAAACCAAATGGTGTCTGTAGTATCCACCACAGCGAAACACCTCCCCAGCACCAGCCCTGCAAACCTGCCAGGGTTTCAGCCCGTCCTGCCCAACTGCAGGGACCCTGCGGACCACAGCGGTGGGGTCTCCAAGGACGCCAGCCTGCCTGCACCCACGTCAAGGCATAGCACCACACAGGAGGACGGGCGTCAGACTCGGGGGTGGCACTGTCACATCAGAGTCCTTTCTCCCACCCCTGCCAATCCACACGCATCCCCCTCTGGTCACGGCCACGCCACCTCCTGGGGTCTTAACAGCCCCAGTGGGGATGGTGCAGCCCCAGCTCCTGCAGACAGGGTTGGAAGCGAAGCCATCTCCGGTGGGTACGGCATCAGGTCGCTATAGAGAGCGATCAGGTCACCCCTCAGCCTCCTCCAGGCTAAACCACCCCAGTTCCCTCAGCTGCTCCTATTAGGGCTTGTTCTCGAAACCCTTCACTGTCTTCGTTGCCCTTCTCTGGGCACGCTCCAGCCCCTCAATGTCTTTTTCGTAGTGAGGGGCCCAAAACGCCGTAACGCAGCTGTCTGTTTTGGGGGCTGATGGAGCCCTCGCCGCTGAGCCAGGCAGCACCAGCTGCACACAAAGCCGGGCTCCCGGAGAGATGCTGGTGGGGCTCAGGGGCTGCTGTGGCTGACGGGGCACGTGGCACCAGGACAGCGGGTCACTGCCCTGGCACAGCAGGGACCCGGGTGCTCAGGCCCTTACGACAGCGAGGGCACAGTGCTGCCCTGCCCTCGGGGACAGGGCAGGACCCACAGCTCTGTCCCTCCTGTGACGCCCCTTCCCAGCACAGAGATGCTGTGTCCACAGAGGCAAGTGTCCCTTCCCACGCAGCCCCTTCTCTCGCCGGGCATCCCTTACCGGGCAGGGCAGAGCGCTGCAGGCAGGGGGGGCTTATGCCCCTGCC